CGCCGGCTCCTGGGCGGTGCGAGGGGCCAGAGCCCGAGTGACACTGCTGTGACCACCCAAACGCTGCTGGGGGGACACGGCCGCTCCACCCACACACCTACTGGCTCGCTCTAAAGCCCGTTTCTAACAACAAAAGAAACACGTCGGTACCTGCTCCATGTTGTAGCCGTGCTTCTCCTTGGCGATGGCGATGTACTCGTCCACTGAAAAACAAGACAGGTGTGAACAGGGCCGCGGGCTTCGGCCTGCACGCCCAGGACAGGCCCCCGCGGGGCCTACAGGCAGAAGCCCCGCAGGACTCGCTGAAATATACTCAATATGAAAGCCCTTATCTCTGGATGGCAAAATTATGACTCTCTTTTCTAAACTTGGTTCTACTTATTTTCCATAAACAAGTATTTCTTTAGTACCTGAAAAATAATTATTTATAAATAAAAAAAACATTAAATTGGGGTTTGTTTTTAGGAGCCAAGGCTACAGAACAAGCAACCTATCGCTATAGTTTAAAAAACCTAAGAGATGAGTGATGTGAACCAGTGTCTGGTATTTGCTTTCAGGCACTAAGAAAACTGACCCAAAGATGAACCTGCTTCCACCTTATATTTTCTAGTCTTTTCTCCAGAAAAATAAGGCACTAGTCGTCTATAGCACTTCCTTATATTATCCATGTGTGACTTCTCTACGTAAATTACAAAAATAACACAAGCTCAAAACACCACTAGGCAGAACTGTATGCAACAGTGACATCCCCTTGGCCCCTGGCCCGTCCCGAGGCTCACTGGGTCCCCTCGGCCCCTGACCCGTCCCGAGGCTCACTCAGTCCCCTCGGCCCCTGGCCCGTCCCGAGGCTCACTCGGTCCCAAGGCTGCTCACTCGGTCCCCACGGCCCCTGGCCCGTCCCAAGGCTGCTCACTCGGTCCCCACGGCCCCTGGCCCGATGTGAACCAGTGTCTGGTATTTGCTTTCAGGCACTAAGAAAACTGACCCAAAGATGAACCTGCTTCCACCTTATATTTTCTAGTCTTTTCTCCAGAAAAATAAGGCACTAGTCGTCTATAGCACTTCCTTATATTATCCATGTGTGACTTCTCTACGTAAATTACAAAAATAACACAAGCTCAAAACACCACTAGGCAGAACTGTATGCAACAGTGACATCCCCTTGGCCCCTGGCCCGTCCCGAGGCTCACTGGGTCCCCTCGGCCCCTGACCCGTCCCGAGGCTCACTCGGTCCCCTCGGCCCCTGGCCCGTCCCAAGGCTCACTCGGTCCCCTCGGCCCCTGACCCCCGTCCTAGAAGGTCAGTTAGTTTCCCGAGAGGACAACTCGAGGCCGAGGGCCAGGCTCCAAGAGCTGTGCTCGCCCAGCTGCAGTGAGCGCGGGGCCCGGCACTGCGCAGTCCGGCCACAGCCCTGGCTCCCGCTGCGGCAGAAATGAAATCAGTTTTGAAAAAATAATTCAGACTCTTTTTCAGTGTGCATTCTAACGCCAGAGAAAATGTTTCTCCACTGACAGAGGGAAAAGGTCAGCTTAACTCAAACCGTAACTACGCACAGTGCAGCTCGCTGCTAACAGCAACACGAAGCATCCGCTTCCTCCTTTGACAGCCAAGTCCGCTCGCAGCAGGAAAACTCCAGGGCACCGGAGACTCAGTGAACTAAACCAGCGGCCGCCAACCTTTCGGACCTCACGGCCCAACAGTGGCCCACGGCCCACCGGTTGGCGACGCTGAACAAAATGACCTCAGGGCAGCCTTGGTGAGCACGCAGCAGGGACACATTTCTGCCTACATCCAGCTCTGCGAGCCACAACTGCCACACCACTGCCTCCCTGGGCCCAGCGCAGTCCCAGAGCGCAGTTCCAGTCCCCGCACCTGAGGCCTGCTGGGCGCCCGAGCAAGGTGGCCTGTAAAGTCACAGCGCCTGTCAAGTCACCGGCCGGCAGGAGTGGAAGTTACCTTGTGAAAGAATTCTATCTGACACCCTCTGGCAAAACACACTTGGTGCATTCTCTTCATTGTCCCCAGCTTCCAACAAAGATTAGCAAACAGCTGCTGAGTGGGTGCTGGGAGCTGTGGCATGGGGGGGGGGGCGCTCATGTGGGGGCTCCTTTCCCAGCAGGGCAGGGGCCGGGTTAGCCCTGGGGAGGAAGGCACAGGGCGCAGGTGGAGCCGGCTCTGGCTGACAGACGAGGCCTGGGCAGGAGTGGACACTCAGCACTGCGAGTCAGGTGGAGGCCGCGTCCCTTAGCAGCTCCCCGGCCTCCCCAGCGCATTCAGAATGAAGAGCGTCTGTACAAGCAGTGCTGCGGACCGGCCTTGCCTTCCTAGACGCCCTGTCCTCAGCTCCTCCTTTACTCATCAGGCCCATGGTGACCACCACCGTTTCTGGCACCCTGACTCCCCACCTCCCTGACGTGCCAGTAGCTGCTGGGAGGACATACTGAAAATGAAGTGCGAATTTTCAAAGCCTCCCTCGATTTTTCGGCCTAAGAAAATAAAATCCACTCACAAACAAAGGATGACCAGATGCAACGGATAAGAGATGAAACAGGAAGGGAGTGAGCCCCTGAGGCAGGGGGTCATCAAGGAAGGTGTGATCGACATGTCCTGGGGCCAGGAACTTTGCACCCAGCGCCCTGCCCTGCCCTGTCCTCCCCAGGGCGCAGGGGTCAGTACCGGAAGCCCCAGGGAGCAGGAAGCAGCAGACTTGCCTTGTGCGACTTAGCTGACCCCCAGCTTGTCTGTCAGAAGCAGAACTGCTCAGAGCTAAGTGCTCTCTGCTTCAGAAGCAGCCTGCCATTGCATAATGCAGTATTTTTAAAACTTGAAAATTCCCATGGAAACCACCGAGGAAAATGGTCCAATCTTAAATGATGATGCATAAGACATACATCACTCTGATCATTTAAGGAATTACACAGACTGTACATATTCTTTGCTTTGACAAGTACTTAATGTTATGGAAAGCACAGGTGACTGAGTTATGTTTTGGGGGTAACATCACTTAAAGGTAGTGTGTGCATGTGTGTGTGATTCATCAAGAAAATTTACAATACAGCCAGTAATCCTCCTATATAATAAAAGGCTAATATGCAAGTTGACCCATCAGCAGAATGACCAGTCGCTATGACATGCACTGACCACCAGGGCACAGATGCTCAAAGCAGAAGCTGCCCCCTGGTGGTCAGTGCGCTCCCATGGGGGAGCGCTGCTCAGCCAGAAACCGGGCTCATGGCTGGTGAGTGCAGAGGCGGTGGCGGGAGCCTCTCCCACCTCTGCTGCAGGCGGGTGGTAAGGAGCGAGGTGTCCTGGACTGTGAGAGCCCCTGACTGCAAGAGGGCGCAGGCCAGGACACCCCCCCCCCCAGTGCACAAATCTTGTGCACCGGGCCTCTAGTATTGTAATAACTACGTATGGTGCCAGGCTGGAAACATCAGGAGACACTTTGTCAAGTATGATTGTCTGACCATTATGCTGTACACCTGAAACTAATGTAAAACAATAGTGAATGTAAACTGTAGCTGAAAAATAACATTTTTAAAAAAGAAAATTCACAAACGCCTCATCAAGCATATATTGAGCTACCCTTACTATGTACAGAACGCTCTACTGAGTAGCAGGACAGACTACAGAAGATAAACTAACTGACTTCCTTCGGTAGCTTGAAACAACACACAGGTAACGAAAGAGAATACAGATTCCAAAATAACAGCACAGATGCAGATGGCAAGGGCATGCAGAGTGATCAGGAAATAATGATGACGATGATAATCGGGACGGCAGTTACACCGAGTGATGACAGCAGCTGACATCGGTCATTCACTGCCAGCCACTGCGCTAAGCTCGGCACAGGACCCTCTTTCTGATTCTCTCCAGTACTTCAGCTACCACCTCATTCCCAAAGGCCCGGAGAAGGCAGGGGATTTGGAAACTCAGGGTCTGACTCGGGACCTGGGCGCTGAACCTCTGTCCATGCCTCCCTCTCTCTGGAGGAACCGCCTCCACGGCGCAGAGAACAGATCAGGCCAGTCGCCCTGTGTATCCCGCGTGAACGAGGTTAAGGAAATAGCGCTCTGGCTGGTGAAGGAAGTGGTGAGAATGGGAGGTCACCGGCACCTGGCTGCCTTGTGCGAGGCCTCATTTGCTTCTATGTTCATGTTTAATCCAGGGCTACATGCCCTCAGTACCATTAGTAAGAGTCTCATTCAACTGCAAATGTAAGGAAGAATGCAGACGAAAACTGCCAGTCACCTAGCTCACCCGGCCCGGCCCTGGAACCCAGAGTCGGAACGCCTTGTGCCTGTGTATATCCCATGCAGAGCAGGAGCGGACACCATGAGGTGGGTGAGGACAAACTAGAGCTGTAATGCAGCTTTTTAAATGGTTTATCGTTATAACATTGGCAGTAGCATTAGGTACAGAAAAGGAGGCATGGCACCAATGTCTCTCTTCAAGAATATAATAAATATCAGGGCATCTCCTTTTATTATTAAAACACAAAATGAACAATCACTGTAACTCAGAATCCAAAGGCGCTTAAATCATGTAAGGAAAGCAATGATGCCACCTGGTGGGCATAACTACCACTACAGTTAACATTTCAATGAGACACTCCCCCACCCCATTCAGGGGAACAAGAGAGCACAAGACACAAGACAAGACTCTGCCAGAGTCTAATACAATGAGCCTGTGCTCCCTAGTCAGCAATGAAATACACTTTCTCTGTTAAAATGCTGTTTCTTCATGTAGCTTTGCTAAAATCCCACTTTGTAGAAAAAGCGCCCCCACCCTCCTGAACCCAGTAAATACGACACAACCCAGCCCAGTCCCGTAAACACCTGGATCAGGTGGAAATGAGAACTGTGAGCGCCCTGCCAAGCCTCCCACATCCGCAGGCAGCTCAGCACCTGCTGCTGCTCTGCACCCCGGCCGCCCTCCATCCAGGATCTGCGCGCATGACTGTAAGTTCACCCCGCCTCTGCACCAGTTCCCTTATCTTATGAGAGCAGCGTAGTTATGACCTTAAAAGTGTCTTCCATGGCTAACACTGTATGAGTAATCTCTTGAGTTTTAATGTTAAAGAGTAAAGTCAGCGAGTGACACACTCTCTCCTTGCGTCTCTCACATCAAGTCAACTTACTCATGACTCAGACCCTCGCAGGCAACTGCAAACTCACAATAATTTTGTTTGTTCTCATATGTT